ACCTCGACCCTAATCTTCGTCGTCGTCTTCCTCCTCCTCCTCCTCCTCCTCCATGTCCTCCTCCTCCCCCATCTCCTCCTCCTCCTCCTCCTCCTCCTCCTCCTCCTCCTCCTCCTCCGACGACGACGACGACGACGACGACGACGACGACGACGACGACGACGGCGCCCACAAACCTCGACCCTCGAACCTCGACCCTCGTCCTCGTCGTCCTCCTCCTCCCGGGCCTCCTCTCCGCACTCGCAGGCATACAAGGGCGCGCAGGCCGAGTCCGGCGGCATCATCGGCATGATGGAGGTCATCGCCTCCGACTTCAGCAGGAGACTGGCGGCATGGGTGGTGGTCGCGCGCTTGAGGCCGGCCATACGTCACGTGGGAGTGGCCCTTCGCTGTTGGTGCGGGCCTTTTGGTGTCTTCGGTCGAATGCGATGCGATGGCAGCGGCTTGCGTCTGTCCCCCCCGCGCTCACCCAAAACCGCGAGGCAGAGGTCAGTCCTGCCTGTGGTCACTACCGCGCGGCATAGGTCAGTCCTGCCTGTGGTCACTCCCTGCGCGCAGCCTGTTTAAGCGTCATGGGAAGTCGGCGGCGTGTCGAACGGGGTGGCCTTTTACACGGGGGCTTCTTGCACATCCTCCTGCCTTCCAAGCTGTTTTGAAAGAGCTTGTAAGGAGTCCCCGGCCTTCTCATAAGGTCATACGGGCCCCCCCGCCACCTTCTTCTCCGTGCCATCGAAGAAGAGGATTCTTTCTCTCTCTCTCTCTCTCTCTCCCTCTCCAGGGGCGATGATGGACGACAATGGGGCAGAGGTCAGCGTTACAAGCACGCAGGTTTTTTGTTTTTTTGTCTCGTCTAGCCGCTCTTCCCAGTGCGACCTACGCGATGTGCTCCAGGGCTTCCGTGACTTCCCACGAACGCCCCACGTTGGGCGCGATAGTGTGGGGGGGGGTGATGAGATGTGCACTGCCTGTGGACCAAAGGAGCCCCTGGGGCCCAAAAGGGGCACGGCCCTCCCCCCACCGGTGCCCCCCACGACGCAGCGCCCGACCTCAACTTGGACCCCCCCCCCTCCCCAAATACAAAAGCTCCCCCTCCCACCCCTGCGGACGGCCCCGCCCTCCCCGAGAGGCCCCTCCACGGCGAGGGGGCCCTGCGCCCGGCCGGCTGCGGCCGGGGCCGCGGCAGAGATGAGGAGGGACAAAAACACAGACACAATTATTTGTCGATTTCCAGGGAAAAGTGGGAAAAAATATGGGAAGTGGGGGGGAGGACGAAAACCCAGAAAATATGGGGAAATGTGGGGAATCTTTTTATTTGCGTGTATTTACTTGTGTGTCCCAGGGCCCCTTCAAGAGAGGCCCTCGCCGCTGCGCCCCTCGCCGTCGGCGGGGCGACGCGCCGTGGGCTCCCGCGGGCGCGCGGCGGCCGCGCGGAGGGCCGCGCCTCGGGCCGGCGCGCCCGCTGCCGCGGCGAGCGGCCCTCGGGCGGCCCGCGCGGCCCGCTCGGGCGCCGGCGCCCGCCGGCCGGCCCGCTGGCCGGCCCGCGCGAGCGGGCGGCGGGGCGCTGCTGCTCGGAGGAGGAGCGGGTACCCCTACTTCGATGCTCGTTTTGGGGACCTTCCTGGGGGCCACCTACTGGATCTGTTCGGCTCAGGTTCGACTCAGGTTCGACTCAGGTTCGACTCAGGTTCGACTCAGGTTCGACTCAGGTTCGACTCAGGTTCGACTCAGGTTCGACTCAGGTTCGACGCAGCTTCGACGCAGCTTCGACGCACGAGTGGAGCGAGTGGCTCCAGGAAGGTCCCCAGAATGAGCATCTAACCCTACCGCTACCCTTCGCCCGTTTTCCCGTTCTTGGGCCTCCTGGGAGGCCCTCGGCGCCACCGCTGGGTTCGCCTCGAAGTTTTCTGGTCAGGGCGCGCCCCAGGAGAGGTCCAGAGAGCAGCGGTATCGGTACCTTTTGGTCTCCCTGGCTGCACGGCGCGCTGTGGCGGGTGAATGAGGTTTTGCGTCTGTCGCGCCATCACTGTGCGGAGCTCGGCGCCCTGGCGCGAACGGCGGAGCGACCCGTCTTCCAAGACACGGCCTAGAGCGCCTCCTTGCGGGCGCCCCAGGGATCCGCGGAAGACTCGTGTGGTGCATCCTCGACCCGGGCCTGGTACGGTGCACGTGTTTTTTTTTGTCGGCCCGTCGGAGCTGGCAGACTATGCACCGTGCCGCGCTGCAGCAGGGCACGCAGGGAGTCCAAACCTGGTGGTGCATGGCTGCTGATCTCGTAAGTCACCACCCACCAAATCACCCCAACCCAACCCGAAGGCCTCAATTTGCCCTCCATTTCCAGTGTGGGGAGGGTCCGGGAACATTGGAAAAACACACATGGAGCCCATACCCCCCCCCAGCCCGAAATTGGGGCCTTCGGGTTGGGTCGGGGTGGTGTCTGGTAGGTAGTCAGTCAGGGAGGCATCCGTCCTGGCAGGTGCCTTCGGCGTGCCCAGGGAGGCGTGCTGGCACGAACCCGCGGGCGCCTCGGGGGCGCGTGCTGTCGGGTGGGCGGCGCAGGACGAGCGGGGTCGTCTTCGCCGACGCTGGCGCGGAGGCTGCCCGCGTGGGCTCGCGCGTGTGCGCCCTCGCTTCCAGCGTAGCACGCTGCGCTGGCGGCCCCCGTGGGCTACCGCGTGAGCTGGCGACGTCATCGCGCGTAAGGCCCGTTTTTGACCCTCGCGCAGGTGCCTGCTGGGCGGAGAGCTCTTGGGGCGCAGGTCGGCGAGCTCGATCGCCCCTTCCGATCGATGTGCGGTCGATGGGGGAACTTTTGCAGAGGGCTTCCACTTAAGGAGGATCGGGGGGGGTCAGAGACAGCCACATTCACTGCGTCCCGGGGTCCTGGGACTTCGATGTTCGACGGCATTCTCATCACGGAGCCCACATAGAGCCAGACCCTGCCGCAGGGCCAGCATTCCATCCTGTGCAGTGTTTGACGGTCCTTGGGACCGGATGGGGGCTCGCAGAGGCCGAACGCGGCGAACAATGTGTGCATGTTTTTTCTTCCAGAGCGTGATATGTGTGTGTATGTGTGTATGTGTGTGTGTGTGATGTGTGTGCGCGTGCATGTGCGTGTATGATGTGTGTGTGTGTGTGATGTGTGTGTGTGTGTGTGTGTGTGTGTGTGTGTGTGTGTGTGCGTGCATGTGCGTGTGTGTGTGTGTGTGTGTGTGTGTGTATGATGTGTGTGTGTGATGTGTGTGTGTGATGTGTGTGTGTGATGTGTGTGTGTGTGTGTGATGTGTGTTGTGTGTGTGTATGATGTGTGTGTGTTGTGTGTGTGTGTGTGTGTGTGTGTGTGTGTGGTGTGTGCGTGCATGTGCGTGTGTGTGTGTATGATGTGTGTGTGTGATGTGTGTGTGTGTGATGTGTGTGTGTGTGTGTGTGTGTGTGTGTGTGTGTGTGTGAGGCGGCCTCTGTGAGGCGGCCTCCCTGACATGCCCGAGCGCAGGGGCCTCCCGCCCCTCCCCCCTTGGCGGCGTGCGCAGGGGGGCGCCCCTCCGTTCTGCCTGCGCGCGCAAGGGGGTGGGGCGGCGGGGGCGGGCTTCTCGGAAGACTCAGGGGGCAAGTCACGGGAGCCTTGTATACCCTCTTAATTCCGTCTTCAGCGTCGATTCGCGTCGGTTAGCGTCTGGAGTCGATGCGATAGCGCCGATCGAGCGTCGGCTAGCGTCGATTGGCGTCGACGTAGCGTCACTTAGCGCCTGTCTAGCGTCGGCTAGCGTCGATTCGCAAGAGCCGACAAGATGATATGGGAGGCTCCCATGAGTTGCCACCGAAGAAGACGGGCCGGGGGGGGGGTCCCAGAAAGCAGGGGCCTTCCCAGAGGGGCCCCACCCGTCCTGTGCTGCCCCTCTCTGTGGCGCTGCGGCCCTTGGGGGGCCGCAGCGTCTATCACCACCCACCAAACCACTCCAACCCAACCCGAAGGCTCATATTTACTGTCGATTTCCAGTGGGGGGGAGGGGTCGGGAAACATCGAAAAAACACATGTGGAACCCTTGACCCCCCAACCCGAAATTCGGGTCTTCGGGTTGGGTTGGGGTGGTCTGGTAGGTGGTCAGTCTACCACGCGAGAAAGCCCACGCCAGAGTGCCCGGCACACGCTTGAGCCCCGTGGGGCCGCAGGTGGTCCAGAAGGGCCCGGCTTCCGCCCCAAAAAGCGGCTTCCTCGGAGCCAGGAGGGCCTCTCAACATCCCCCCCTTGCCTTAAGGTCACCACCCACCAAACCACCCCAACCCAACCCGAAGGCCTCAATTTGCCCACCATTTCCAGTGGGGGGGGGGGGCGGGGAACACTGAAAAAACACATGGAGCCCGTCCCCCCCCCATCCCGAAATGCGGGTCAAACTCGGGTCTTCGGGTTGGGTTGGGGTGGTCTGGTATGTAGTCATAAGGCGGGCATCTCCCTCTACAGGAGGAAAATTCAAGAATAGCCTCATGACAGCCAGGGCACCATTCCCCGATCACTCTTGAACGATCTCTGATTCTTCTCCCCAGGCTCCGCCTGCAGGAGGACATGCTCGACCTCACCCTTGCCTCCTCGAACCCCCCAGTTCCTGGAGGGGCCGCCCGCCGCTCCGCGCCGACCCCCCGCGCGCGCGCCGCCCGCCGATCCAGAGGACCATCACCGAGACCCAGAAGGCCGAGGCGCGGCGGCGACGATAGGGGCGAATAGCCCAGGGGCGGGCGTCACACGTATTCGCCCGGGAGCCTGTTCCGAGGACATAGATCACCGGCGCACCCGAGCACACGTACTGCTCTGCACGTTCTCGCTCTCCCCTGGGCTATTCGCCCCTATCGTCGCCCCTGAGAGGCCGCGGCGGAGGACGAGCACCTGGAGTTCATGACGGCCACAGGCCTGCCCGGGCCACGCCGCGCCCGCGCCCGTGCGCGCGCGCGCGACCCGCGACCCGCTTCTGAGGCTCTACGGCGTGGCAGGTCCGTCTGCGGGAGGACTCTGCGAGAACAGTCAAAACATGGCCTGGGGACGACGGTTGCGACTGTTTCTGACCCTTTTTTGAACCTTTGTGGGGCTGGTTTCCGTTCTTTTTCCAGAAGCCGCCTGCAGGAGGACATGCCCGACCTCATTTCGGGGGTGGATAGACCTCCTGCCCTGACACGTCGATGAAGGAGTTGGCCGTTTTCGGTTCGCGAGAGGGCGTCGCGGCCGTTCTTTTTGCGGGTCTGGGTCCGTCGGCTTCGGTCCGAGGTCGTTTTTCCTGAAGGGGGGTTTACTAACGGGAGGCTTGTCCTCCGCCGATGATTCTGGGGGCGCCCGCCGGGGTGGTCGGCCGGTCCCCTCCGCAGACCCGCAGCGGCGGCGGGGGTGGTGGCGGAGCGGGGGCGGCGCGGCATGGTCGAGAAGAAGGGCGGAAGCAGGGACGGGGCAGAGCACAGGGGAGGCCCCTGCCAAGGAGCACCCTGCTTGTCTGCAGGGTGCCCTGGGCTTCTTGGGTTTCGTTGGTCTTGCGATGGAACGCGTGACGTTCCCACGCCGAGAGTCAATGGACGTCCTGGGGTCTCAGGGTTGGGTTCCATGTGGACGGTTTCCTGTGGACTGGCCTCCACTGTAGAGCCGGGAGGGCACGCAGGGGAGGTGGTCGGAGCAGGGAGGTTCCGCCCCCGGTAGGCTTGTAGCCATTTCTGCCTATGCAGTGTTTGTGTGTGCGCTTCGCGAAGCCCGCGGCGCGTAGAACGCTTCCCCGGCAACATATCGATACTGAGTTTGCTGTTGTTTTTGGCCTCTCGGGGCCCTCGCGGGGCCCCAGGGCCGTCAAGGACGACTTGGGATGGAAAGCGGGCCCTGGGGCAAAGGTCGGGCCTTCCTGGCAACCCGTACTGCATCATTCGAGACATGCGGTGGCGGGTGGCCGGGGCCATGATTCCTCCCCAGACTTCATGGCTTTCGAAAGAAAAAACGCCATAAACATACACTTTAGGCGCTCCGCGCGGATTTCTTGAATCCGCGCTTCGCCCCCCCTCCCAGCGGCGCCTCTGGCGCCGCCCCTGGCGCGCTCCGCGCGCCAGGGAGGGTGTTCAGTGCAGATCTAAGAAATCCGCGCGGAGCGCCAAAAGCTTATGTTTATGGCGTTTTTTCCCCACTCAGTGCTTGCACTGAAGTGGTCCTAGCGGATGTTGAAGGATTTGGCGAAAGTCCAGGCCGATTTCGGTGGGCGGCCGGGTTCCCGGGTTCCCGGTTCCAGGTTCCCAGGTTCCTGGATTTTAGGAGAAGGAGGAGGAGGAGGAGGAGGAGGAGGAGGAGGAGGAGGAGGAGGAGGAGGAGGAGGAGGAGCAGGGAGGAGGAGCCCCCGCCGAGCCATTCCCTCCCTCTTTGGCTATACCCTCATCTTTGGCAGTCCTCTGCTCCTCATTGGGCGCTCAGGGGATGCGGCTCCTCGTCCTGGCAAGTCTGTAGGCTTGCTCAGCAAGGGGTGGTCCAAGTGAGGTGGACACAAGTGGGGTGCTCCAGAAATGGCCTCGCCTTCGAGGATGGAAGGAGTTGGCGTCTCTTCCCTGGCGGAAGGCGGCGGAGAGGCTGTTGGAAGCTGGCTGAAGTAAAACGAAGTCGCCTCCGCTGGCGGAAGCCGGCGGATGGCAGTTGGAAGCCGGCGGAAGTAAGAAATGCGCCGAGGAGATGGCACCATTGTATGGTCCATCGTTTTCAGAACCGGCAAGGTCTTTGAACAAGTGTGATGATAATGTGTGCTGATGATGGTGATGGTGTTGATGGTTTTGATGGTGATGGCAGTTGTGATGGTGGTGATGCTGCTGCTGCTGATCATTCTGATGATGATGACGAGGATGTTGCTGATGATTCTGATGATGCTAATGATGAGGTTGGTTACGATGAACATGATGGTGACGATTAGGATGATAACGACGATGATGATGCTGACGACGACAATGGTGATGATGATGATGATGATGATGATGATCATTATGATGATGATGATGATGATGATGATGATGATGATGATGATGATGATGAGGCTGATGACGATGATGCTGCTGCTGATGATGTTGATCATGCAGGATATAATGATGATGCTGCTGATGCTGCTGATGCTGATGCTGCTGATGATGGAAGCTATGATGGCGATGAGTATGGTTCTGATGACAATGATACTAATGGTGATGATGCTGACGACGATGATGATGCTGCTGATGATGATAATGATGATGATAGTCATGATGATAATGATGATGATGCTAATGATGATGCTGATGAATATGCTGCTGATGATGACGCTGATGATGACGATAATGCTGATGATGATGATGTTGATGAGGACGATTGATGATGATGAGGATGATGAGGGTGATGATGCTGGTGCTGATTCTGATGACGATGGATGGTCATGGTGATGCTGCTGCTGCTGCTGATGATGATGATGATGATACTGATGCTGGCGATGCTGATAGTGTTGATGGCGATGCTGCTGCTGATGATGCTACTGGTGGAGATGACTAGTGATGCTGACAGTGATGGTGATGGTGCTCATGCTGCTGCTGTTGATGATGCTGATGATGATGAAGGTGAGGATGAGGACGAGGATGATGATAAGGATGAGGATGAGGATGATGATGATTATGATGATGATGATGCTGCTGATGCTGATGATGATGATGATGATTATGCTGATGATTGTGATGCTGGTGGTGCTGATGATGAGGCTGATGATTCTGACGATGATGCTGATGATGCTGATGAAGATGGGACTGGAGATCACCATCAACAGAGCCAGTAATAAAGCCACCACTATTATCATCACCATCATCACCATCATCACCATCACTATCATCATTATCATTCGCATCGCCACCACCACCACCATCATCATCATCAGCATCATCATTGTAATCATCATCATCACCATCATCATCATCATCATCATCATCATCATCATCATCATCATCAGCATCATCATAGTCACCATCATCGTATTCATCATTCTACACCATTATCGTCGTTGTCAGCATCGTCGATGATTCCGTGCGGTGATGAGGCTAAGCAGGTCTAGTGAATTCAACGTAAGAGCTACACCTCTCACAGCAGGATTCGCTCCGCGTCCAGCCATGACCGAGGCGCGTGAGACCAGGACGTTGGTCCACCTTGCAGGGTGGGGTCGGGCGCGGCGCGCGTGTGTGCGGGTTTGATCGTCCCTGTGAGATTCTGGCGCCGCGTTTTTTTGTTTGCACCAGGTGTTTTCTCGCCCAGTTCTGGTCCCCAAGGCCCTCACAGACTGACGGCCCAGGAAGTGCCGCAGAACATGGGGGACGCGGGCTCAACTCGTGATATTGCAGAGTCGTCGTCGTCGTCGTCGTCGTCGTCGTCGTCGTCGTCGTCGTTATTGTCAGTTCGAGTTGGATTATTTCGCGTCCTCGGATCTTATGGCATTACGCGCCGTGGGCAGCGTCCACGTCCTGCCCCAGATGAGGCGCGGGCGCGGCCCCCCCGCCTTCGCAGGGCGGGGAGCACAGTCTTCCGTGCTCCTCGAGGCGTGTCGTTCCGTGGCGCGATCAATCGAGGATCGCACCCTGCGCGCCCTGCTTGCCAGCTTTCTTCTGCCCTCACCTCTGCCTTGGGTAGGGCCGAGGGTCAGAGAGCGCCTTCCTCTGCAGGACCACCAAAAGGCGTACGTCAAGGTTGTCAAACGCCTCGCCGGTTAAGCCTACGAAGATGTGCAAAGTCCAACCGTGCGCTTATGTCCAAAGTTTTGGCTTGACGACGGGTGTGGTGCATCAGTTTCAGCTTGACGGAACAGGTTGCTTGCGCCCCTTGACGTCCGTTTGGGGTGCTCTGCAGGCCTGACCCCCGAGCCCTGCTCCGCCTCCCCCCGCTTCTGCGGCGTCTCCCGTGCAGCGCCTGCCTGGCGACGCGCAGGGTGGCGCCCAGCGGGGCAAGCGGCGGCGCAAGTGGCCCGTGGGTCGCGCCGTGTCTCGCCGGCGCCCCCCCCCCCCCGCCTCTGTCCCTCAGCTCGCTCGGCCGCGCAGAGTGACGAGCGAGCGTGCACGTCTGCCACGCGCCGCGTGCGCCGGGCTGGCCGGCCACGGCGCTGCCCAGGGGCGCGCGGGGGGGGCGCGTCGACGGCAGCGGGCGGGACCCGCCGGTGGGCCGGCCGTGCGGGCCCTCACGGAGGGCCCGTGCGGGGTGGACGCTCGGAGCACGCGGGCGGGCTTGCGGGCGAGCCGGCGGGCGACCCCGACGGGCGGGCGGGGCGGGCGGGCCCCCTCATCCACGGGCGGGTCGGGTGCCCACTGGCCGGCCCGCCCGCCCCCCCTCTCATTGGGGCGTTTTCTGCGCCCTGTCGGCGGCATTTTGCCCGCGCCAATTCTTTCGGCGTGACACCGATCTACTAGTGCAATGTGTGCGTCGCCTCCCCTTCGGGGCGACGCGCGCCCCGAGGAAATCTTCTAGTGTAAGCTCCGTGGCGGGCGCGTTCTGGTATCATGCCGCCCAGGAAACGATACACCACAAGATGTTTGCACTGGATGTTCGGGTCGGACGCGCGCCTCCGAGGAGGACGCAGTACTAGTATGTCCTTATGCGTCTCATCCACCCCTGCCACATCAGGTGGTCGGCGCACGTCTTCGTTGGCGCAGCCTGCGACAGCAGCCCCGTGCCCACAGCGGCGTTGAAGGGGAACAAGTGTCGGCGGCGCGCGGGAGGCTGTGGCGGCGAGGGGGGGCGGCGTTTCCCTAACAAGGCGGGGGGCCTTCTCAGAAGCGCCGTTGCCGTTGAAAAGCCTTCCTTGGAAGCCTCCGTGTCACTGAGATAAGCCTCGTGCCTTCTTAGAAGGCCGCCCCCCCCCTCCCCACCGCTGCGTGTGAACCGCCAAGTTTGCGTGAGTTGTGTTCGACATGGGCCGTCTGCACGGTGGGTCTTAGTTGCTGCTGCTCGCCAGGCAAGTCTCTTGGGGAGAAGAAGGTGATCGAGGAGCAGAAGACCACAGAGAAGGACTGCCATCTTCTGCAGTCGGCTTCTCTCGGGCGTCTGTGGGCAGGCTATCTGGAAGGAGGTGCAGGTCTTGGACCGCAGCAGCACAGATCGCACCATAGCTCTCACAGCTGCACGTCTGTGCGCGGCACAAGGTGGTTCATCGAGAGCATGTTTTTTTGGGGGGGGGGGGGCGGCGATAGGGGGAGCGGGGGGAACGGTGGTCGGTGTGGGATGCCTCCCTGCTGATGAGCGCCGCCTCTCGCGGTGGCCCGCCCGCCTCGCCGCGCACCGCCTCCCTCCTTCGTGAAGCCCCGGGGGGTGCCGCTTCCCCAGGGCCCGTCTCGTCAGCGTGCCCTCTCGACAGCGGCTGCATACACCCTGCTTGTCCTCTTGTCTTCTCCTCCTGCTTCCCGTTCTCCTCCCCCTCGTCCTCTCACGACTAGGCCGCTCCACAGCCCGTACCGGTGACGGCCCCGAGTAGGGAGGGAGGGAGAGGGGGGGCAGGAGCGATGATGATAATGGTGATGGTGACGGTAGTGACTCTTATGCTGATGATGCTGATGAGGCTGCTGCTGCTGCTGATTATGATGGGGATGCTGATGCTGACGGTGGTGGTGGTGGTGATGATGCCGTTTACGATGATGGCCACGACGACGACAAGTGATGGTGGTAGTGTTAGTGGTAGTGTTAGTGGTAGTGGTAGTGGTAGTGGTAGTGGTTGTGGTTGTGGTAGTGGTAGTGGTAGTAGTCGTAGTAGTAGTAGTAGTAGTAGTAGTAGTAGTAGTAGTAGTAGTAGTAGAAGAAGTAGTAGTAGTAGTAGTAGTAGTAGTAGTAGTAGTAGTGGTAGTGGTAGTGGTAGTAGTAGTAGTAGTAGTAGTAGTAGTATTTATAGTAGAAGTAGTAGTAGTAGTAAGTAGTAGTAAGTAGTAGTAGTCGTAGGCAGCAACGCAGCAGCAGCAGTAGTAGTAAGTAGTAGTAGTGTAGTCGTAGTAGTAGTAGTAGTAGTAGTAGTAGTAGTAGTATAGTCGTAGTAGTAAGTTAGTAGTAGTAGTAGTAGTTAGTAGTAGAGTCGGTAGTAGTGTAGTAGTGAGTAGTAGTAGTAGCAGTAGTAGTAGTAGTAGTAGTAGTAGTGATAGTAAGTAGTAGTATAGTAGTGGTAGTGGTAGTAGTAGTAGTAGTAGTAGTACTAGTAGTAGTAGTAGTAGTAGTAGTAGTAGTAGTAGTAGTAGTAGTAGCAGTAGTAGTAGTAGTAGTAGTAGTAGTAGCGTAGTCGTAGTCGTAGTCGTAGTCGTGTCTAGTCGTAGTAGTAGTAGTCGTAGTAGTAGTAGTAGTAGTAGTAGTAGAGTAGTAGTAGTAGTAGTAGTAGTAGTAGTAGTAGTAGTAGTAGTAGTAGTAGTAGTAGTAGTAGTAGTAGTCGTAGTAGTAGTAGTAGTAGTAGTAGTAGTAGTAGTAGTAGTAGTAGTAGTAGTAGTAGTAGTAGTAGTAGTAGTAGTAGTAGTAGTAGTAGTAGTAGTAGTAGTAGTAGTAGTAGTAGTAGTAGTAGTAGTAGTAGTAGTAGTAGTAGTAGTAGTAGTAGTAGTAGTAGTAGTAGTAGTAGTAGTAGTAGTAGTAGTAGTAGTAGTAGTAGTAGTAGTAGTAGTAGTACTAGTACTAGTCGTAGTCGCAGTCGTAGTAGTAGTAGTAGTAGTAGTACTAGTACTAGTCGTAGTCGCAGTCGTAGTAGTAGTAGTAGTAGTAGTAGTAGTAGTAGTAGTAGTCGTAGTAGTAGTAGTAGTAGTAGCAGTAGTAGTAGTCGTAGTAGTAGTAGTAGTAGTAGTAGTAGTAGCAGTAGTTGTTGCTGTTGTCGTTGTTGGTGCCATTCCTGAAGTGTACTTGTTGTTCATCCCCCTCCCCGGTAACCATGATTCTTTCAATCAAATTGCTTTCCTTTTTTATACACAGCAGAATTCAAACAATGCAATCAATGGTTCGTATTCTTATTATTGCTTTCTTCAAAAGAAAATGAGATAACGTTATTGCCAAATCGCGCTCTCGCGCGGGAATGCCTCGCAATTCCTTCAGGAATCGCGCTCTCGCGTGGGACTTCCTCGCGATTTATTCAGACGCCGCGCCCTCGACATTCAGGGGTCACGCTCTCGCTATGGATGTCCTCACGATCGATTTAGGAATCGAGCTGTCGCTCGAAATTGGCTCGCGATTTATGCAGGACGCATGCTTGAGCAACCCGCCTGCTCGACCTGGCCGCCTAGGCCCTCCTTCCCGACCCGCCTTGTAGGGTCTACCCGCCCGATCTGCCCGTCTGGTTCTGCCACGTGATTTCCGCTCCTAGCCCGTGCTCCACCCTCCTCCCTCCCCCTTGTCCTTCCTTCCATCCGTTCTCCCTTCCCCTGCCTCCGGGGCTGTGCGAAATACACGTTACAGGTACGAAAGGTATACCCCAAGCGGGTACGGTCGAGGACGAAGAGGGCGGGTAATTACCGAGTGTTCGGGATAGCACGCGAGCAGATAAGAGCGATCAGTCCTAAACTGATTGTTGTTGTTGTTGTTGTTGTCGTTGTTGTTGTTGTTGCTGTTGTTTTTGTTGTGGATGATGCTGCTGATGATGATTGTATTGTTGTGGTTGTTGTTGTTGTTGCTGTTGAACCCTCGTTCTTGAAAGATAATTATGGTTGGTCCCCCCTACCAGTACACATTGTGCTTTTCAATTGAAGTGACACCTTTTGGGTTCGCACCTTGTTTTTTTATTAGATTGTTTCTTCCTGCTCAAACTGCATTGTTGGGTCCCGAACTGCAGCAACAAAGGTTCCTGCCTGATAGTTCCGCACAACTTATTCCACGATCGCGCTGCCGCGCGGGACATCCTTTGAATTTATGCGGGAATCGCGCTCTCGCGTCGGACTTGTTCCCATTTTTTTCAGACGTCGCGCCCTCTTAGGGAAGGTCTTCTTGCTCAAAATGCGTTGTTGGGCGCTGAACGGCAACAACAAAGGTTTCCGCCTGATAATTCCGCACAAGTTATATTCCAAAATCGCGCTGTCGCGCGGGACTTCTTTGCATGTATGTGGGAATCGCGCTCTCGCGTGGGATTCCCTCGCAATTTACTCAGACGCCGCTCCCTCGACACTTAGAAATCACGCTCTCTTTGTGGATTTCCTCACGATTGATTTGGGAATCGCGCTACCGCTCGAGACTTCCTCTCGGTTCATGCGCGACGCACGCTTGAGCAACCCGACTGCTCGACCTGGCCGCCTGGGCCCTCCTCCCCAACACTCTCGGTAGTGTCTACCCGCCCGATCTACCCGTCTGGTTCTGCCATGTGTGTTCTGCTCCTAACCCCCCTCCTGCTAGGTTCTCCCGTGCTCCATCCATCTCCCTTTCCCTTCCATTTGTCTTCTCTTCCCCTTCCTTAGGGGCTGCACTGATATACCTGCAAGGTGGTACGATAGGAGACGAAGGTGGCGGGTACCGAGGGTTTGGGTACCGGCACGCAGGCAGAACGGAACGACCAGTCTTAAATTCTTGACGCTACGCGTATCCCCACCAGTGCCTCGCCTGGTGGCCCAGACGACGCCTTCCGCTCCCTGTCCGCTGCCTCGGAGCCGCCGACCAAAAAAATATTCCCACCGAGTGGGTCAGCCTTCGGCGTCGTCGGCCTTCGTTTCCACTACGTGCAGCTGGCGTCCCAGGCTGGTGCATAGTTGTCTGTCTAGGCAGTTGCTCGGAGCTTGGCGCCGCAAGGGCGACTTACTCCGCGCTAGGTGCGTCCCAGTGAATGCAGAGCATTTTGCTCAGTGCACGTGCATTGCACGCGTCGCGTGGAATTTGCCTGTTCCGCCGTCCCGGACACGCCTGTTGCCGCCGGACCATTGTCGCGCGGCCGCCGACCAAAAAAATATCCCCACCAGCCCATCCAGAATTGATTGCCAGTTTTCTTGAGGCCTCTTGGAGGCTATCTTGAACCATGCTCGGCTAGAGGCTGTCGGAGGCTATCTTGAGCCATTCTCGGCTATCTTGGGCCATCTTGAGGCTGCCTTTAGGCCTCTTGGAGGTCTGTCGGAGGCTATCATGAGCCATGCTTGGCTATCTTAGGCCATTTTGAAAACCATATTTACCTATCTAGGGCTCTCTTGGAGCCATATTGGGCCAAACAGGGCGGGATGGAGGGTCTTTGGGGAGAGACTGGGAGGCCTCTTGGGGTCATCTTGGGCCCCATGGCTCAAAAAGAGGAGGTCTCTCAATTAGCATCGCCCCCTCGGAGGCTGTCAAACGGCATCTTAGGGGCCCTCTTGGAGCGCTCTTGGGCGCCTCTTGGGCGATCTTGGGGCCGTCTTCAGCCTTCTTGGGCCCCTCTTGGGCCTCCTTTGGGCCATCTTGGGGCCATGTTGAGGCTTCCGAAGCCCATCGGAAACGAAAGGGCGATACTGCCAAAAACATTGATTCTCCCTAGGCTTTTGAAGGGTTTGGCATCTTGGAGGGCGCCGTGGAGGACTCGGAGGGCACTTGGATCCGTCTTGGGGCTGTCTTGGGGCCTCTTGGGGGTATGCCGGAGGCTATCTTGACCCATCTTGAAGTAGCATGGGCCATCTTGGAGGCCGCCTTGCGACTTTGAAGCCCTCTTGGAGCCTTCTTGGGCCATTTTGGACGCTGCGGCGCCTCCGTCCCCCCCTCCAGGCCCAGGGGAGGGGGTAGGGGGAAGGGTAGAGAGAAGAACAACAACGCGCTATACCACCTAAACCCAGAGGGCTGGTGGGATTGAGTGTTGTTGTTGCTGTTGTTATTACAGCTGCTGCTGCCGTTGTTTGTTGCTGTTGTTGTCGTCGCTGTAGTAGTAGTAGTAGTAGTAGTAGTAGTAGTAGTAGTAGTAGTAGTAGTAGTAGTAGTAGTAGTAGTAGTAGTAGTAGTAGTAGTAGTCGTAGTAGTAGTATTAGTAGTAGTAGTAGTAGTAGTAAGTAGTAGTAGTAGTAGTAGTAGTAGTAGTAGTAGTAGTAAGTAGTAGTAGTAGTAGTAGTAGCAGTAGT